CGGCCGCCTCAGGCGGCGTGAGGCGGCAGCCCCCGGCTCCGCTCTGCCGGGGAGCCCTCGTCCGACCCAAGCGGGGCCGGCCTGAGGTGAGAGCGGAGCTTTGCCCTGCCGCAGCCGCGCCGTGTGCGCCGGTGGCGGGGAGCCGGGAGCCTCCGGGGCCGGCCCGGGCTCCCCGGCAGAGGCTCCCGCGTGTCTGCCGTGTGCCTCGGCTCGGGAGTTTCCCGTGGGGTTCTGTTGTGAACGAGCGTGGATTAGCAGCCCTGGGGTGGGCTGAGTAGGGGCAGGGCAATGCCGCGTACCTCGGCATTACGGCCCTTGCTGTCTTGGCGGTTTCAGCAGATGTTTTGGGTTGCCTGCGGCTACGTTCCGCTTTGTGCAGAAGCGAGATGTCGGTGATGCTTGTGTGCCAGCGTCGCTTCATCCTCCCTCTTTCCAAACTTGGCCTCGTGTCAGGTTGCGGAAGAATTAGGTGCAGGGGTTTTGTTGGGTTCCCAACAGCTTTTGTGGAAAGCGGTGACTGTGTGGAGAGGCTTACTAATATTCCTGCTAAAAGTCGTGATGTGATAATACTTGTTCGTTACCAGAGAATCAGTTTTGCAGCTGTATTTCAGGGTGAATCCAATAAAGCCAACCTCAGTTCAGTTGCTCCCACCACTCCATCAGCAGGAAGGATTTGTGTTGGTGATTTACAGCTTTGGGGGCTGTATCTTTATAAAAAGAATCTGTCTAAAATTGACATGCATTTTGGTGATTCAGGAAGCTCCTTTGTGTGCATTTGGACAACACGGTTGCATCCTTCCTGTGCCCTCGGCACTCATGTAGCATTCAGTGTTAAGAATGGAAGCACAGTGGGCAGAATTTATGCCGCTTGGAGAACCGTCTACCTAACATTTGCCTTCCTAAACTTTTTAATTTTACTTTAAAAAGAAATAATCTATAGTCTTCAGTAGATTGTATTTATGTCTACATTTTGAAGTCATATGTTTTATAACAATTCTTTAGGGGGATTTATTGTTTCACTAAAATTAAATCTTGAGCTCAAAAGTTTTAAACTAAGTGTCTTATATATGTCAAAATTCTTATTTTAGGTGAATTCTTGCATAATTATATTTCACATGTTTTTAAAAGAGCTTAAATGACTTGCTGCTTTTGAAGCATGCCTACAGACACGCTGCTGGGGGTCTGCCTGTAACAGCCTAACCTTCTCCCATCAAGATTTTTGCCACTCAAGCTGAAGCTGAGTAGGGCTGCCCTGCTCTACAGCTTTTCGTCTGTCTACTTAGTTATGTTGTTGTTGATAGTCGTTTTTACAAAATAGTGCTGTAGGAAGCTCTGATCATCTTGTAAGGCTAATTTTATGTTAGGTAGTGTGGTTTAAGGAAGCAGAATCTCTCTTTGACTATGTAATACTAGCGTATTTAACGATAACAGGCTACTACTAAGTAGTACAAGATACTAATTGCAGTTCAGGGAAGTTTCTCTTGGAAGCTTCCTCTTGTGGATAGCGTAGTTTTTATTTAATGTTACAGAAAATGTAACACACAAAGATTGTTTCCTTAAAGGAGATACTGTAATTTGTTAAACTAAATGAATCTGCCCACTAGGTGTCCGTAGTTCCAAGTAGGATGAAGCTTGGAAGGATGGTACATGATGAAGCTTCAAAGTAACTGATATTTGGTGCAACTGCAACAACTGCTTGGTAATGTTTTCAAATTGCATTCCGGTTTTTGTTGCATATGTTAACCACAAATGCAGTTCTGCTGTATCTTTGAGCCTATTTTACATATTTATTTCTCTCTTACCTTCCAAACAACATAAAGAATAAAATATTCTTTCTGCCAACTTCACAGGACTTATTTCCAGCCATGTATCATGTCTGCGAGTCTAGTTTTGCAAAAAATAAGAGGTGGGTTAAATGCATTGAGGAAGCACGAAACTATGGTTTGAGCTGTTCAGAGCTACTTAGTAACATTCTACAATTCTGCTGTTCTTGTTGTTCATATATCTTTGTTTGTTTGTTTGTTGCTTTTTTCCCCTTGTTGTTATTTTAAGGGTTCTAAGTTTGGAATTAAATAAAGATAGAGATGTGGAAAGAATACACGGGAGTGGTGTCAACACCCTTGATATTGAGCCTGTTGAGGGAAGATAGTAAGTATATACTTTAATTGGTAAAAATGTGTATGGGTACTTCACTGTGTTTTGGTACCATGGATTTATTTTCTTGCTGAATGCTCAGTTGTATTGAGCATATTGAGATCATGAGTGTTGTAACTTGTGTGCTTTATTAATACTTTCAGCATGTTATCTGGTGGATCAGATGGTGTTATTGTGCTTTATGACCTTGAAAACTTGAGCAGAAAACCAAGTTACACATGTAAAGCACTTTGTTCTGTGGGAAGGTAGGTACTCAAAGATTCTGTTAAAAGTTCATAGTGATATCTCTTGTGTGACTAGCATTAAACTCACAAAATAATGTGTGTTCTTACTTCTAGGATAAAAAGACTGCAGAAAATAGTACCAGAAATCTGAAGGTTAGCACGATGCATTATGGGTTTTGGCATGAAAAAAAAAAAAAAGAAAGAAAACAAACAAAAAAAGGAAGAAACTTTGTGAGGATTTATATGATTTACTAAGTAGCAGGAGCTAATTGTTTTTTTCTTGATTTGTCTGCTCTAACAGTTACGATATATGTACAATGGCTCTCTGATATTGTTTGAGCAGATTTTGGGCGGTTCAAAAGTTAAAATGGAGGATATTAATTGTACTCATATGGAATCTAAAGTAGAGAGGCTTGTATTGCTGTAGACCCCGCAAAAAAGTCAGAGTTAGTACTCCAATCTCACATTTTAACACTAGAAAAAAGACCAAAAAAACCCCTCAACCCTTTTCCAGGTCACAGTTCCCTCACCTGTGAGTTTTCTAATTGTTTCATGTTGAAATTTGCTGACTCTGTGCCAGTAACTATGAGAAGGTAATTTTGGGACTGTTGCAGAAATAGTCCTTGTATCCCTCAAATACACATATTATATGTATCTTTGAATAAATCTGTGTTTAAGCAAAAGGAAAACTATCTTTGCGTAACCCTGTTCATGTGATTGAAAAAAAAATCTAATACAGATTTGCAGTTGTTGGTTTTATTTCTCTTCTCCCTGCTCCCAGCTTTACTAATAGCTGTATTAAGTTCACCAGGTGTTCACCAGGTACAGGAGTAATTAATACAGATCTTCTTAAGAATATGTTTGAATGAAGACAGATGTGCTACTGACAAAAATGGGACATATTTTTCCGAAGAACAGGGTACTACCTTACTGTGTGTAAACTATATAAAGACTCAAAGCCTTTATTGATTTTTCAGGTGTTACCTGCAGGCAGTATAAATTTGTCCATTACGGGCATTAAGTCTTCTAGCAAAAGCTGTTTTCTTCCTTGTGTTTAGATAATAAGGTTACCTAATAGGTTAGGACTTTATCTCAGACTCATAAGATATATCCTATTGTGGAAAAGATTAGTAGCTACATTTTCCCCTTATTTTTTCCCAGTCTTCAAATTATTTGAGGTCTAAGAGCTTCATGAGTAAGATCAATAAGAACAGAACAGATTTGTAACAATAAAAGGCCTAAGTGGTATCTTGGACCATAAGACAGAAAAAGGTTAATAGAACATGCATCAAAACAAAAGGGTAGGAACAGAATCTACTGCAAGTAAGCTGCATTTGGTAAGTCTTGATGGCTGAGACTTCTTGAACAAAATTAACTAAAATTGTAATTAAGGACAATAATGACTAGACATCCCCAAATTTCAAAACTGAAATGGATTCTGAAACAGACACAGCAAACTGAAGAAATACATGCTGAGAAGACACAGCATAAAAACTGGCAAATCTGTGCTAAAATCATGCAATTGTTAACTTCTATTAGGTCAGTAGAAACACTCCATACTTGAAAAGTCTGTTCATGAGCATTGTGAGTTGATAGTCTGTTTCTTGAGTAGGTCTTAATTTGCACAGATGCATCTTTTACTTCTTATCAGCTGAGTAGAGGCATAAAGAGTACTAACAGAATCTGATTTTGTGTGATACAATGTTCTAAATGATAGGCTTATTATTATTGCTTGAAGTTCCCATAGTAGGTTATTTGCTTCAACTATTTATTCCCAGTATTCAGGTAGCTTCCCAGCACGTTTTAAATACTTATTGTAGCTAATTAGCTGCGGATATAGCTTCAGATATTGGAATATTATTCATGCAGCATTCCTAACATCATAAATGACTTTATAATTACCAGTAAGAAACACTTCCATCTGACTATCTGGCTCCTATCTTTGAAGCACATGATAATGACATGTTGCAAAAGTTTGCCTGTGTTCTAAGTTTGCAGGGTACAATGCAACTCTGGTCTCAAAACTGCTTAAAGAATAAGCAGTAGAGGCCCTTTCAGGCTATTTCTGAATAGGCTCTGAACTGGGCCTGCTGAGGGTCCAGTTATCCTCCATCAGAGGAGATAATTCCTGATGGTAGGCTGTGGTTTATCCGGTGTCTCTCATCTAGAATGTAGGGCCACTATTGCAAAAAACCAAGACCTTTCCATGTTCCACTAGGAGTTGGCACATCGAGCTTTACATGGTTTCA